TAACTAGAGTACTTATTATACAAGCAGATCATGTTATTATACTATAAATACTGAAATGTGTAAGCATCACTTCTTTGCAGGTTGATATGGAGCTCATATGTGTGGTGCTGAGAGCTACATGGATAATATTTTATTAAATGTATTGATATGCACACACTTACTAGAGAAATTCAATAATACTTTGAGTGGTGGAGGGGTGTTTAGAAAATGTATTATCTTTAGTACAGTATATGTAACTGCTGTGACATAGTCATTTCTCAGCTTTTGGGATAAATAAAGTATTTCTTATTCTTCTTATTTTTATTACTATTTTTTTCCAACTATGTTCTGTATAAATTTTACATTATCTTGGTGTTACTTCCCATCAGGCATTCAGTTAAGAACAAATGTGTTTTTTTATTTATTGCTTGTCTCAAACATATTGTGTGTGTCTCATTGTGAAATGGCAGTGATCATACGTGCTTTTTATTTTGTCATGCCTCTATAATTATTTGCCTTTGTTCCCTGCCTGAGCAAATCATCCCCAGAAGCCCTGCAAATGGTCCAGAATGTGGCTGTGAGGCTGCTCAACAGGTCCTCTAAAAGGTCCCATGTAACACCAGTGATGGGCAACAAGCAACAAGGTGATATATACCAGTTTTTAAATTGTGTTGATAGGCCACGTAAAACCAGAGTCATGATAAACAATATATACGCGGTGTTTTTAACTGAATAGTTTCTCCAAGTTTGCTGTCTAAGGACAGCGCTAGCAAGCACTCTCTGCTTATGACCAAAAAAAGTTTAGGAAGAGGGGGAAGTTTTAGGAGTGACGGCGAGAAAGACAGACAACAGAAAAAGAGAGAGAGCGAGTTTGTAGATGTGAGAGATTTGTGACGTTTAGCGTTAAACCAGGAGGAGTGATACACCTGCTGCTGTCAGACCTGCAGGTGTCAGGCTGTGATGTTCTCCTTTATAGTGGACAGAAATATTTGGAGTGGCACAAATAATTTGTGTGGCATCTTATTCCACTAATTTCCCTAATTTCCTTCGGGATTAATAAAGTATTCTAATTCTGATTCTGATTCTGATTGAATGCAGAACAGCTGATTGTTATGTAAATAGTTTGAAATGATTATTGTAAAAAAGGGGTAAAAGGTAAATGGATGCAAATAAATTTGTTCTTTGCAAAACCTGTGCATATGATTTTAAGATTAAATGCAAATATAAATTGTCAAAGTTCTGAAATATGATTCATTAACCATGTTTGTGGTGGCGATTGTGGCTCAAGAGTTGGGAGTTTGCCTTGTAAT